CTTCCCTGGTCCAGGCTGCCTCCCTTCCCACAGGGGCAGGGCCGCCGGCCCGCCAGATGGACAAAGGCCCTCCCGAGGGCCGGCCTGGCCGGGCCACCAGGGCAGCTGCATGGGGCGGGGGCGGGGGAGGCAGCGCCGCAGGCCTGCCCCGGCCTGGCCACGCCCACAGGCACCCAGTGGGGGCTTGGGGATCGCAGGGGTGGGGTCTGCTTTTAGGGCACCGGGGAAGAACAGCCCACAGGTGGGGCCTGCGGGGGGCACGGGCCGACCCACGGGAAGGGCCAAACAGACGAGGCCGGGTGGGGGCCGGGCGCCTCCGGCTGTGCTGTGTGGGCCCCCCCACAGGCCTGCCTGGGCAGGACCCGCCTGGGCAGGACCCGCTGGACCCCGCCACGTCCCCCAGCACGGAGCGCGTGGCAGAAGGCCCGTGGCCCTCCTGGAGGCGCCTCTGCCCGGTCTGCCAGCGCCCTGGCCCTGCAGGCGCCTGTGAGTACCCTGTGAGGGTGCCGGGGGTGCAGGGGGTGTGGGGAACCCCCCTCAGGTGAACCGCCTCGCCGGGTGCTCAGGCCCTGCCGGCTGGGGCCCACCGTGGGCCCCTCGCCCGCAGGTGTGGACACCGGCCTGCACTCCCGACTCATCGCTCGCAGGCCCCTCGGCCCTAGGAGGGCTCAGGGACGTGGGCAGCGCTGCCCCAGCGGTGTCCAGCTGCGCCCCTGCCCGCTTGAGCCCTGCTCTGGCCGAGGGCTGCGGTGGGCTGGGTGGAGGCAGCGGCACCCTCCCCTGTCCTGGGCACCCCTCTGGAGGGCCCCCAAAGTGCTTCATGGGAGCCCCGTCCCTACACCACTGCCCCTCCGGCCTGGATGCTGTGGGGCTGGGCCCAGAAGGCCCCAGCAGAGGTAGCCACCTGCACGGCTGGAGCCCGGGCCCGGCCGCTTCCCTCTGCCGCCAGCCCTGCCCGTTCTGCCCCCAGGCGCCCACCTGCACCCCAGGAGCTGGGCATGCCCCTGCCCGCTGGCCGTCGGCCCAGCCTCCCTGCGCCCCTGGTGTGCAGCCCCTCGCCCCCAGGGAGGATCAGGGGCCACAGCCGGCGGCCCCACTGCCTGGCCCCTCCAGCTTGCACCCCTAGGACAGGCTCTGCTCAGTGCCCAGGCCCCCCAGTTCCCTGCCCAGCGGCCGGGGACCCCAGGACGGGTCCTCAGGCCCCGGCACGTCCAGGCCACAAGCAGGCAAGGTGGTCTGGAAGAGTGTGTGGGTGGGGTCTGCTGCCCTGGCTGCCTCTGACCTCTGCCCCCTTCCTGTTGTGGGGTGGGGCTGGGGCCTGGGGCTCACCGGACGCCCAGGCCAGCAAGGCCTCTGCTGCCCGGCCATGAGTGCGGGGCCTGGGACCAGCCACAGCCGTGCAGGGCGAGGGCCCTTGTGGGTCAGGGCGGGTGGTGAGCGGGAGCTGCCCTTTTCCCTGAGGTCATCGCCACCCGGCCAGCGGGGACAGAAAGCCCTTCTTCTCGGCGGAGGCTGGGCTGTGCCGAGGGCGCCGTGGGGGCTGGGCCCGGGGGCTGGGCCGGGCGGCTGGCGGCTTCCCGGAGCCGCCCACCTGCCTGTGGGGTGCTGGGGTGGGGCAGGGCCTCCTCCACCACAGCAGCTGCCCCCTCCCTGGACCCCAGAGCCACAGGGGCCAGTGCCGGGGAGGGGAGGCCGGCCGCGTCCTGGCCGGCCCCTGCGCCCCTCAGAGAGGCTGCTTCCGGCTGCTGTGCTGCGCTTCCTCTGGTGTCTGCCGCGTGGCCCCTGCCCCGCTGACCCGCCCTGCTCCCTGGGGACTTCTGTCATGCAGCAGTGGGGGTGCAGGGCCCGGGAATGAGGCCCTGGCAGCCATGGGTGCCTGTGTGGGGCAGGGCCGGGGCAGCCCAGCGGCTGGGGCAGGCCAGGCCGAGGGGGAGCCCGGGGCGGGCCGGGGCAGCCCTGCCGGCCCTGCCCTGGGGCCTGACGGGGGACGGGAGACTCTTCCTCGAGGCCTGAGTCAGTGCCAAGAAGACCTGCTCGCTCTTCCCAGCGGGGACGGAAACTCCCCGTCAGCCTGGCAGCAGAGGGCGGCCCGCGGGCAGGAGCAGGCACAGCTGGGCGCGGCTGCTGGCCGCGGCGGGTCCCCTGGCTCGGCCCCCGCCAGCAGTGCCGTGGGGCCGAGGAGCCTGGAAGCGCCTGCGGGGGGGCATCTGCACCCCAAGCCCCTCTTGACCCGCGCCTGGGCGCCCCCGCCCCTCAGCTGCCACCCACCAGTGCCCCCTGGCCGGCGAGGTCCAGCTGGGGCTGCAGCTGGGCCGGCGAGGCCCCTCTGGCCACACAGCCGGGCTTGGGGGCCCAGGCGGAAGCACCAGGCGGTGCTGGGCCCGGCCGAGCCCCGAGGTCGGTGGCGCTGAGCCAGGTCCGACGACTACGAGGCCAAGATTCCCGGCAGGGGGGCCGCGGGGGCCCAGTTCTGCTCCTTCCCGCCCGCTCCTGGCCCAGCCAGCCGAGCCTCTTCCTTTTTAGGCAGAGTTGGGGCGCTCACCTGCCAGGAAGGGAACCATGCGGCCCCGCTGGGGGGGGGATATCCGGCAGGGACCCCGGCCTGCCCCTGGGCTGACGCCCCAGCACTGCAGCAAAGAGAGCTGGGGAAGCGGCGACCCCCCGCGGGAGGGCGGCCAGCGAGGTGCTGTCCAGGCCGGGTGCCATGCGCCCCCAGGGCAGACGTTGTGGGGGCTGACTGGGGGGCCGGGCGCCCTCTGGTTCGGCCTGCCCAGCTCCTGGACCCCTGGCTGCCTGCCAGGCCCCGCTGAGTGTTTCTGGGGGCTGCCGGGGACCCTCCCCCTGCGCCTTGCGTGGGACTTCAGCCTGGTCACTGCCCTCGCTGGCAGGGCGTGGGGGTGGCGAGGGGACGCCGGACGGGGCTGCAGCGGCCGCTTGGGCCGGGTCAGGTGGCGGAGCGGTGTCCGCAGGAAGCTTCCCAAAGGTCCCAGGCTCCGTCCCGCCCAGCACCTGGGCCGTCCCTGCGGGGCCTTCCCCGAGGGGGGCGGGGGCCGTGGGCCCCGCCCCTGGTGCCACCCCCAGGCTCTCACAGGCCGGGCCGGCCTCTCGC